ACTCCTGCACTTAATACCCTAGGCTCTGCATTAAAAAGTAGCCCATCCTGGAAACAGGATATGATTTTGAAGCTGAGGTTCAGACTAAAACTGCAGTCCCAATAGTGGAGGTCTAAGAGAATTACAAAGCAAGAAAAACTAGTTAGAACAAGTAGTCTTGCTCTGTATGCTGAGTTGCTGCTGCAGTAGTGCTTTTAACATTGTGTGTCTGTCTTTAGATTGATAACAATTTCAGAGAAGTTGCTGACATCAGGCCAAGTTCTGCAGCTCTTGCTGAGATAAAAATTGGAATGGAATTTCCAAGTGAAATCAATAAGAGTTTGAGTAAGATCACAGGATTGAATCTTCAGACACAGAAGTTTCTAATCAATAAATAAGAACATTCAAAACTATCTTTATAGGTTTGTGTATCAGAGTATGTCAGGATCTGTTCCTGCTATGTCTAAACTCAGTCATTAGGGTGTTAGGAATAGATAACACTATAGTCACTTAGTCACACAGAAAAATATTTACATGCTGATGACTTGGTTCCTGGTCATGAAACTGAATGCATCTGAAGTGCTACAGTCAATCATGCCTGGAAAAAGCAGCTAAATTAGAATTGGAATGTTTTTAGTGACCAGATACTGTCCTTATGCATCTTTGTTGTTCACTGGGGTTTTCATTGGATCCTAAAATATTGGACTAATGTGATAATAAGATCAACATATATAATGAAAAGTAAGAAACTGCATGGCAAGTAGGATGAAATAAAAGAAATGCAGAAGGAACAAGGTTGCAGGATGGTGCGATTGGTAGGTGAAATATGACATGAACTGCTGTCCTCTGAGGAGATGAAGCTGGGGCAGGGGAGGGGGGAGACAGATACAAGCAGAGAAGAGGTTGCAGTTGATGAAAATAAAAACAATTAAATTATAGATTCAAATATTTTGGCAGAGACAGAGAGAAGGATGAATTTCAGAGCTTTTATGGATGGGAGAAATGACACGAGTCTTGGAAGTTGGGCATATTCTGCAGTTGCCAACAGTTAAATAAGTTACTAAGGTGTTCTCAAGAGCCCTTAGACTTACTGCCAGAGAAGAACTTGCCGTAACCATTGGCATCTTATTCAGTAATTACTCCCTTTTCTGGGGAAAATTATAGCACAGGCAGATCTCCTCTTAGCATCAGGTCAAAATGTTGATAAACCAGGAGGAATAAACCAGCACACAGCTCTGGATGAGATGTACGAGGGCCCTTGGGCTGATTCATAGCCCTAGGGGACCTCTCTTAAAGCTCCTTTTCCTGTTTCTTCCCATTCTCTCTAGTAATAGGAGAAATTATGTGGGTGTTTCTTCTGTCTCCTCTTCTCTGCAGTTTTAAGCCTGCTTTTAAGAAAATGTCTTTGTAATTTGAAAAAATTATTTACTTTCCTGTCTTTGGCCAAAGTTAATCTGCTGTGGGCTTTGTCGCTTGATGTCCTGATTTGACAAGAAGATTTATCTTGGCAAAAGAGACCGGGGGCATATGTCAGAATGCACAAACACACAAAAAAGTCTCTTGTTTTCAAATGGGCCAGGCTGGCAGTTTTTATGGTACATAAGGTTCAAAGGTGACAGCCTAATAAAAAAAAAATACAAACATAGTTCAAGCTGACATTAATTTCTTAAAGACTTTTACGATCTTTTAATTTATTCCTGTTGGCTGTTCTGCTATGGTTACAAGCTACATTAATATGTGATCTAAGTGGTTAGTTGGGACTTTTTAGACAGATCAAGTAGATTGAAATATGAAGATTGCTTCCCTTTTTAAAGTTCATGCTAGAGCTTCAGATCTTCCTCCTGAGTCTTTCAAAGTTCCCTGTTTTCATTGCCAGTGATCTAATTTGATTTTTTTATGAAGTCTGCCCTCTTGTACTACTGTATGCACTTTTTAATGAGATTTGGAATATAAATGGAGTTTTGCAGGCCAGACCTGGCAAACAACAAGGTATATAGTACATTATGATCTCAACAGAGTCCAAAGGCTAATAAACCTTGGATATCCATTTTACAGTAACTTTTATTTGTTGATGTATAAGCAACTCGGATCAAATCCAACTCTTAATCCAACACAGTTATCAGAATTATTTTCAAATCTGTTTTGTGAAACTGCCTAGCCTTCTTTACTCAGATTTACTAGTAATTGTCAACCAATTTGACGAATATGTTATTGGATTTCTTCAAATTGCTGTGATAACTAGGCTGTTTACCCTTGTGCTTAATTGATGTCCCAGATGCTCTTGTGACATGGCAGTTTCACAGGACATGGTATAATAGTGATAATGATGAGTATGGTCACACTTCAGAAATGGGCTTAACCAGAAATGTGAATGTAATAGATAAAGGACATAGAGCTGGAGCTTTCTTCTTCCCTCCCACCCCTTATGTTTCTTCAGCAGCAGCACCCAACATGGGCTGCAGACTCCAGGTTAAATGAAATAATCCTGATAGAGTGGCTGTACAGTCTCCTCTGTCCATGTAGCAGATTGTGTCATTCTAAAGAAATACAATAGTGCATTAAAAATAGAGCAATGTGTGCTCACCCTTCAACAAATTCAACCAAAAGTGATTTTAGTAAAATAAGACTTAAAGAATATCTAAAGAAATGCAGTTGTTGGCTGCAGATTGTTTTGTCATTCTGTAATTAATTTGGGAATAATTTCTTTTCCCTGTAAACATGGTGAAATCTTACTGGAGCTAGGAAAATAACATTTGCATATGTTTGCTCCATAGGAGAAAGCTGGAAGTGGACTGTTTGTGGTTGTGAGGTGGTTTTTTTTTATTTTTAGTGGATCCTTAAAATGTGTCAGTATCTTAACATGTCAGTCTGTGTTCCCTTTGAATTTTGGGATGCTTGGAGGAGGATCTGTGGAAGCTAGAGATGAATGAAATTTACACAGAAGGCTCAGAAATGCAAGTTTGTGTTGTAATAACAGTCTGAGGAGAAGTTGAGCATTAATCATAAGCCTATTTTTCCACTTGTCTGTTTGATTGTCTTTTCGTGACTAGATCCTGATAAATTCACTTGAATGCCCTATTTCTTTGTCTTGATGTTTGTCTAGCTTGCTTCCTTTTTTTTTTTTTTTTGTGTATGTGCGCAGGCTGTTGGTTGGTTTGTTTGTTTTCCCTATTTCAAAGCACTTGGTTACGGAAGTCCTTAATAATGTCTTGGCTCTGCTTAATTGACTTATTTCTTGCCTCAGTAAGTTTTGAACTGCATATGTATAGATGGGTAAGGACGTATTTGGAGCCTTTGTCAAAGAAACAAATCAAATGGCAGTCATGATTGAGGAGGTCTGTGAAGAGCATGTGCAGGAAAGGGAGAGGCTAATGGTGGGTTACGGTCAGACCACAATTTTCAGTCTCCACAGAAATTCCACATGTGCCTTGGGTCAGCTTGATTTGCTGAGAAATTGTTGGAAGTTAGGGCTGAGATTCAACTCTGACAGGATCCAGTCGGGTATGTGAAACTGTTCTAATAACGCGTAAAAGGCTTCTGTCAGCGGTGGCTTGCCACATGTGCAACCCTGTCCCCAAAGTGCTTCTTTTAAATCAACTCAGCAGTTTCTTCATTTATTTACCTTTATTTTAAAGGAAAGGGGAAAAAAGCATGGTTCTTAAGGTCTAAACACCAGATAGTTAAAGTTCACTGACGGTGTATGTAGCAGTTATGTAACTCTTCTTACAAATTATAATGTGTCTTGGTTTTCTTTCTTTTTCTTTACAGTTTGTGGCCCATCCAAACTGTCAGCAACAGCTACTGACAATCTGGTATGAAAATCTCTCAGGATTACGGGAGCAGACCATAGCTATCAAGTGTCTGGTTGTGCTGGTTGTGGCATTGGGCCTTCCATTTCTAGCCATTGGTTATTGGATTGCACCATGTAGCAGGGTACTGACTTTTATAAATTGCATATCTTGTACTATTCTGGGAATTCTTTTTCAGTTGCTGGCATTCAAAATGCAATATTGTACCTCTAATTCTGCTGCTTCCAAATTTTAACCAATTATGCTATTTTTAGTAATCTCTAGCCTTGAGCCAAAGATGCTATTTGTTTTATTTGCACTGTAAAGAGGGGACCACAGTGATGAAATATGAAAATAAGTTGTTAAGTTTAAAAAAGAAAAAAACCTCTTGACTAAGAGTTCTTTTTATTTTTCCTTTTTTTTTTTTTTTGTTAAATTTCCATAGTTCACCTCACAATCTATGCTATGTATTTGTATGAGTAACATCGATTTTTTTGAAAGTCACCACTCAGATTCCATAATAGGTCTCTGGTGGCCTCTTAAGATCTGATGCTGTTTCCATATAAACCATTAGCAGAACATCTGTTGACTTTACTGGTGCAGAACTTAAGATTAAGTAAAATATTTGTTATTACTGCCCTACGAGGTCTGTTTACCAGGTGAACAAAAGAACAAAAATTAAACTAAATACAGTATTCCAACCATGTCGTAGGGTATATTTGTAAAAGAGGGAAACTCTAAACACCTTCTTAAAATGATATGGAAATACATGGGTGCTTCCAGCTTTCCTCGTGATCTCACAATGAAAATAACAGCAGTTTCTTTGAAATCCTTCCAGTCTGTAACATGTGAATTGTCTGCAAATGAAGCATATTGATAGATATTTGGTAAATCAGAAGGAAGAAAGACGTTTTCTCTGTAACATTAACTTTTAAAAAAAAGTGGTCTTTAAATTCTATTTCCTTAACAAGTGTAAAGCAAGAAAATGTAAGTTTCACTCATTTATGTTTTGCTTTTGTAGTTCACCTCAAAAAGGATAAGATTTTGCTCATCTCTTGCATATTTCAAGGGAATCTGGTGTTTTCTCTGGGTTAAATATTTATTTAGTTAAAGATAAACCTTTATGAAAATAGCATAATTGTTACTCATTATTCTCTGAAATGTCACTTTCTATGATTATCTGTTGTAAAGATATTCCTCACTCACGGCTCCATATCAAAGAAACGTAATAATATATTTTTTTAGCTAGTTTCTAATATGGAAAAGTGACATTTGTCCTTGAGCTTTAATTCCCAGTACCAGAAACACCTGACATTTTTCCTGGTGCTCATGTCAAATAAAAGTACTGTACATTCAGATCAGTTGTTTGATATTGTAATTACAAAATGCTTTCTGAAGGTCAGGAGCAGGAAGGGAACCTGAGATTGTACAGGTAGTAAATGCTGTGTAGTGTGTGCTGATCTGCTTAGTTCATAGTAGCTGACCCCAGTTTCAGGAGAACCGTTCCTTGAAATAAGACAGCTACTTCTAGTTCCCCATCTGCTGAACTTGTTTTTTTTTCTTGTTATATAATACTGCTAATAATGCAGCTCTTGACAGGGGATTTTGGATTACTGAATAATGGTAATGTATGTGCATGTTAGAATGGTATATTAATATTAATAAAGATCAGGCATTATTTGCAGAGCCATATATTGTTCTGTTGTACTGAAGGCGACAGGAGACCTTTGGCCTTAAGAGGTATGCAGCAGCTAGGATGAAGTCTGTCCAGCACCTATGTTACCAGATTTTGTACAGAGACAAGTACCATCCTGCTCAGGCCACAGAAAGGGGGTGTGTTCCAAAGGTACCGCTCCTTCCAAAGGGAAGCAGGCTGGGAAGGACAAGTGGACTTACGTGTGCATTTCTAGCAACAAGTCTCCAAAGAGTATGTTAAGGAATCTCGGCGCCATCTCTATGCTTGAGCCAATGCACGAACTGCTGTCTGTGGTGCAGCCTCACCAATTCGTTCGCCGGGTACAAGGTGGGGCGGTCACAGCAGCACTGCCAACGTGAGACCTTTGCAGCCTAAATAAAGGATACTGGCAGTATTGCCCTTAGAGGGGTGGGCTGTAGCTTGGCACTTGAGCTGCTGGCTTGCAGGAAAAGACTAGTACTGGTGGGGTCACAGACTGTTCTTTTTCATGCAGTGAATAACAGTGACAGGCCCGTTGCTCTTTCGAGTGTGATCTTCTGTGGAGACAGCTGGTCCTCTCTTCTGGTGCAGAAGCACTGCCTCTGCTGTTGCTGTTTTGTCCTTCTACTAGGTGCAGATGTTCATGAAGTCAGCTGAATTTATTTGAAAATGGTATATTTCTGATATTGTCCTTCATACTCCATTGTAATGGAACAGTCTGATTTTTAGTAGACACAGTTTATTTATTTGGGACTTTGAGCTCTGAGTATGTAAGTTCTGTGAATGGAATACAATAATCAGAGCTGAGGAGGTGAGTCTGTAATTTTTCCTAGACCTAGGTTACAGTCATAGGCAAGCTAATAGTACTCTCTTGTAGGTAGAGAAAGCATTTTGCTATTTGGACATTTTATTTATTTATTTTCCAGGATCTTGTTTCCACCCCCCCATTGGTATCTGTGGCCATTAGATCAAACTCTGTCTGGTCACTGCCATTGTATGTTGTTAATTCATTGGAGTTTTTCCCCTCAAACATTTGCCATCTAGTGTTAATGGAGTAGCATGAACACTCACTAACATGCTCCCATGATGCTGCCTTTGGGAGACTTGTGTCTGAAATGATAAAGCACCACTTTCCAGTTCAGTGCATTTGGAAGAGTATCCTTCAAAAATGAAGGTTCGAACTGTACTGAGCTCTGAGTGCCCATTTATGCTCCTGAAATACCTGATGAAAGAGTTTGTTTCTTTGAGGAGACTGAGTGACTGCTTTCATTCTGCCTTTGCAGCTTGGAAGAATTCTTCGAAGCCCATTTATGAAATTTGTGGCACATGCAGCATCCTTCATTATTTTCCTAGGCCTGCTGGTGTTCAATGCTTCAGACAGATTTGAAGGCATAACAACACTGCCGAATGTGACTGTTACTGATTACCCTAAGCAGATTTTTAGGGTGAAGACTACCCAGTTCACCTGGACAGAAATGCTGATCATGGTATGGGTACTTGGTAAGTATATTGCCCTTTCATCTCTTTGTCAACTGTTTTCCTGCAGATAGAAATCCTAAAAGAAAGGAGAGAAGCCCAGGTCCCAAACCTTTGCTCCAGCTGCTGGGCATTTAGGATAAGCCCTTAGGGCAGATAACAGTGTGTTAGAAATAGCGAGAGCATCAGAGCGTCTCTGTGCTGCCCCTTTTGCAGCATGGGATAAAATAAATTCTAGCATTTGTAACACAAGCACAGATTTGCTGAAGAGAACAAGACAGAAATTATAGTTTACTGAAATGATTTGCTTAGATAGAATCAGGAAGCCTCCGCTGTAGTACATGCTGTAAGTTCAGGAGTTCCTGCTGCTGGGTGTTAATGTGCCAGCACATCAGTGCTTATGCAGCACTGCTGCTTAGGTAGAAAGTGGGGAAATCACAGTTTCTAGTAGTGTCAAGGGGCTAATGAGTCAATTCTCATTACTCTTTCTTTTTTTTTTTTTTTAATTTTTTTCTTCACAAAACCTAATCAGCTGTCAGTCCTGTTGAAACTCTGTATGGCAAAAAATGCTATCTTCTGGAATTTCATCAAAGTCAGGTGCTTTCTGTAGCAAAATGTCAGCCATATGATAATGTAGCATTCTCAGCTTTTACAGGCTGCAGAAGAGAAAGTCTCTGTATGGCAAAAAATGCTATCTTCTGAAATTTCATCAAAGTCAGGTGCTTTCTGTAGCAAAATGTCAGTTAGCCACATGATAGTGTAGCATTCTCAGCTTTTACAGGCTGCAGAAGAGAAAGTACTGTGGCTGCTGCATAGAGGTGCCCCACTCTGCCTCTTGAATCACCTGTAACTCCTGGTTTAAGCACTGCTTTGTCTTAAGCTCTGTTGGAGTAGGGAGGTGCATATCCCTTGTATGCTCCCTTCTGGTAATCCCACTTTATACTCACGGGGAGCTGCCTCTTCATTTGACAGAAGGCAAGGATGGAGATTTTGGTGGTCTCAGCCACTGGGATAAATTTCTTGGGCACTCGAAACAACCAGCCTCAGGCCAATCCAGTGCATGGCTGCTGCGAGTATGGTTGGGGGGACAGCAGTGCCCCTTCTGAATTACCCAGCCAGGGAAACAAGGAACAAAGTTGGGGTGTTGTCCTTTTGTTGGTTTTGGAGGGGTTTTTTTCCAAATAAACTTTTCTGCACTAAGAAAAATTCTTGATTCCCAATAACTGCACTCTAGCTAACGATGAGGCTGTGATCTGGATTAATTCCATGTAAATGAATATCTGAGGAGAAGTTTGAGTAAGAAAAATGAGTTAACATAGCCAATTCCACTTTCTGTGCTGAAAAGCGTCTTATTCCGTGAAGTGGGAGAACCAGTTTTATAATTCTGACATTTATGTTTGGTTATCAGTATAGCTGGGTAGTTGTTCTTCTCTGTTAAAATTAACCCTTCTGATTCAGAACTGTTTTATGAAAGGAAATGGTAAGGAAATGAGAGGAGGTCTTTTTCAACATTTAACATTTTTCCTTCTTCAGAAGCACAGCATGCTGTCATGGTGCTAGGCTATAATGCTTTCACTGCAAAGTCATGGCTCTACGCTATCCTGTGTGGAGATGGTTGAGCTTTATCCCCACATATTAGTATCTTGCCACTTGATCAACCCTGTTGAAACCAAGAGAGCCTTACTCAAGGTGTAATGATGACTCTGTGACACTGCAAATAAATAAAATTTTGCTCCATTTGTGCCACCTGGTTTAATAAAATGGGAAAATGTGGAGATTTTAAATGAAAATAGTTTGGCCAACATTGCTATGTCTTTTCATTTCATGTTGCAGGTATGATGTGGTCAGAATGCAAGGAGCTGTGGCTGGAAGGACCCAGGGAATATATTTTGCAGTTATGGAATGTTTTGGATTTTGGGATGCTGTCCATTTTCATTGCTGCTTTCACAGCGAGGCTTCTAGAATTCCTGCAGGCCACAAAAGCACAGCAATATGTGGACAATTACATTGAGGAGAATGACCTCTCTGAGGTCACACTTCCTCCAGAAATAGAATATTTTACTTACGGTGAGTTTAACTTTTCTGCCACACAGAGCTGAACATAGGGGAAGTGGTAGAACGCACTAGCATTTCAAAGCCTTAAAATAAAGATTTGCATGTGTTTGTGTTCGTAGTGTTGTCTGACCATTTCTGCTGCGATATTTTTGTTTCTATGCTATTTAAACAATAGTTGTTATGATGCTTATTTGACAAATAAGTTTGACAATATATTAAAAACAAACAATAGGCATAAGGACAAAATATATAAAATGTAGCTGCCCATAATTTTGTTGTAACTGTTTATACTAGAGCTAAATTTGACTCTCTTGACTTTAAACATTTGCAAGCTATATTTTATTTTTTGACTTGGTACACAACAGATAGAATTTTGATGTGGTTTTTTTTAATTGTTCGATACAGTAATTCATATTTGTAAAGATCTATCAGCATTTCCTGCTGCAGGAAGGATACTGGAACAAGTAAAGATCTGCCCAAATAGAATAAAAGTACTAAATAGTTATTGTAGTGCAGAAATTCTAATTAAAGGTGTGATGAATCTGTATTTGCAACACCAGCAAAAGCTGTTTTTGCTGTTGGTGGATTTTAGCGTATGCTTTATCAATATGTTACAATAGCAGACTTGTTTTGTTATTTACATTAATTGCTATATAATCAGAGTGAGTTTGTACATATGTAAATGCACATTTAGAAACACATGGTATTTTGATATCAAACACATTTTAATTTCATGGTATTTTACTAAGATGGTGCATTAATTCAGGTAGCAAACAATTTATGAATTTATATGTAACTCAGTTGCTTCTGTGCACATTGTGGGTAAAAACCACGGTCCTACTTCCATTGAGGTAAATGGCAAAAATCTTCATGAGTTCATGGAGAACGAGGTTATATCCTGGACTTGTACCAATGGCAAAAGCTTAGTGTGGTTACATTAATAAACGTTAATTGTTTATTACTTAACACTGTTAACTTCCCATCAATAAAATGCAAAATATGAATACATTTCTGTCTTCAGCATAGTGCTTTGAAGATAGCTAATAATATAGTCATGTTAAGAAAAGCAATATGGAATTATTTATTTTTATATAGTTCAGATTAGAAATCTGCAAACTGCTTAAGAAAAGGTCATGTTTCTTCAAGTATAGTTTTTGTTCTAGCAAAAGATAATATAACTTACATTCATCATTAGTGACTTAAAGGAAATAGGAATAGAGTAGCAACTACTAGACCCTCCAAATATTTGTCTCAACTAAATTCAGACATGTTCATGGAAAATCCTGTCAAGATTTATTTTTTAAACATTGTGATGAATGAGTAACTCCTTATATTGACCCCTATATTTCATATTTTCCAGCTAGAGATAAATGGCTCCCATCTGATCCTCAGATAATATCTGAAGGCCTTTATGCAATTGCTGTTGTTCTTAGCTTTTCTCGGATTGCGTATATCCTGCCTGCAAATGAGAGTTTTGGGCCCTTGCAGATTTCACTTGGAAGGACTGTTAAGGACATCTTCAAGTTTATGGTCCTTTTTATTATGGTGTTTCTTGCATTTATGATTGGAATGTTCATACTGTATTCCTACTACCTGGGAGCTAAACTAAACCCAGCCTTTACAACGTAAGTATGAAGTTACATTTAAGTAAAAAGCTGATATGAAACTTCCAGTTTTTCACTAAGGTAACAAAATCTGCGAGATATTGTATGCTCTCTCCTAGCATTAAAATAAAACTGAAGACAGTTGAAGTTGGTGGGAAATTATGTATCTCAGAACCTTAGAAAGCAGAATGCAAAAGACCAATTTTTTCCTACTTGTATGATGGAAGCTTTCATTGCAGTCTAAAATAATTTTACCTGTTTTTACCTGTATGTTATGATAATCAGACAGACTTGTGGACAACCAATTGCAAGAAAACATTACTGATTTCTCCTGAATGACATTTTCCTAGAGCAACTGCTAGAACTGTAATCTTCATCAGACCTAACTGATACCCAGATTTAGCCATGGTGTTAATAATAGGCCTCCAGATAATTCTGTCAAGAAACAGAGTTAGTGATTCTGGAGATAGCAATTTTTTTTCTCTCTCTTAGACTGGTATTGAAAAAAATTTATGAATGGCATTGGACTCTCTTGGATCAGGTTTACAATTTACATCATAATTGTTAGTCACAGGAATACAGAAGAATGGTACTTATAAGTGTCTCTTCATTCAATTAGATGGTTTTCTGTGATCTCAGAAGTTTTTTGTTTGGTTGTTTGGGTTTTTTTACTTCCTGAAACAAGGTGATGCTGGAAGTGGTAAGTATTTAGGACATTCTAAACCAGAAGTACCTCCACAGGATTGTGAAATTCTTTTCCTTTTCTCACATCTTTCTACAGGAGGCATGACTTCTGTAAAATCTGACGTATTTTCATGTAGTTGATTCCATTACTTCTACTTAATTTTAGCCTGATTTTTGCACTTACTCTTACTCATTGTCCTTTCTTTAGGTAAATAATGCAATATAATGATACTTTTGTTACAGTATTTGATATCAGGTGTCTAGTACGCATACTATCGGAATGCTTATTAATATTCATTGCTTAAACAGTGTTGTTATTTTGCTAGACTATACGGCCATTAGTATATTATTTGTATTTTTAAATAATTTATCAGTGGTAAAACAGGTAATTCAAGATATGTATACTGGCATATGTTAGCTATACTTACTAAAATACAGCTGTCGCTTCACTTCTTGGCAACACAGAGGAAGAAGTCATTTCCAGTAAATTGTGTAAGGTACAATGGAAGACATATTTTAAAAGTAGGATCAAAATTTTTATTGAATATCATCATCTCTTAGCTTGCATTCATGAGCTCACCTCTCAGTGAGGTAGGATAGAGCTTTACAGTGAACAGTGTCCTCACTGCATGACAAGTCAACCTGTCGCAATGTTTCCTGAGTGGAAAGAGGAATGGCAGCATAAGGAGGAGATCTTGTAGAGGATCCACTCTTAAAGGCCCTGGAGGCTTGAAGAGCTCTCTGGCAGCTCACTGAGAGCCCTTGGCAGCTCAGTTCCTCAGGAATCACACAGACCATGGGATGGAGACAGGAGCATAGATCCAGAGCTTTAAGAGTAGAGGTGCCTGCTGTTGAAGTGCCTGGCTCCTACTGATTTCAACAAGTCTTGAACAAATGCCATGAAATCTGTTTGGTTTGTCAGTTTTGTTGCTGAATCTGCTGCTACCCACTTCTGAGTGCACCCCTCCTAATGGAAGGTTTAATTAGAAGCTCTTGAAAGAGTTTCCTTCCCATCAGCCGCATTTTTAGCTTTGTTAGGATAGGAAAGGTCTGCCCCCTGCAGTTAGAGTGGAAAATAATGAGTTGAGAATATAATTCATCTCAAAACCTGGAAATATTATACTTCTCTAGTTCCTGGACTATTATTTTGCATGTATTATTACAACTGTTTTATGTATGATGGATAGATGGAGCACAGTGGAGAAATCAAACAATCTTTATTTCCTACAGAGTGGAAGAAAGTTTCAAGACCTTATTTTGGTCAATATTTGGCTTGTCTGAAGTAACCTCTGTTGTCCTCAAATATGATCATAAGTTCATAGAGAACATTGGTTATGTTCTTTATGGCATCTACAATGTAACGATGGTGGTAGTTCTGCTCAACATGCTGATTGCTATGATCAACAGTTCCTATCAAGAAATCGAGGTAGGACTCTGTTTTCAAGTTGTTGTCTTTTGTTAGGTTGAAAAAGGGCAGAATTATTAGGAATTATTTCAATTAGCATGTCTTGATATGCAAAAATACAATTAAGAGATTACGTCATTTCAGGAGATCACAAACAACACCACATTCCTAGAACTGACTTTATCTAACACCCCAGCCAAGCTGCAGAACCTTACAGCATCTGAACAAGTAGTTCATCTTATGCCACATATATGCATCTGAGGAGATGTCTTCTATCCCCAAAGCTTGAAATCTAAAGTAATGTTCAAATGAAGACTGCTGGGAAGTGGAAACCAAAGTTACTGGGTGTAACCTTTTAGATATGGGTGGTTCATTCCCAGTTTCCTTAGGATGCTTATTGCATGTTTCCTTAACATAGTGCATTTCAATCTTTGATGGATCATTAGGATACAAGTTAAATGTACTTTGATATGTTCTTTAATGGAAATCTGATTTTTAGTTCCAATCCTCAAACTTTTTAGCTAAATGTGCAGGAATGTGTCATTGCTGTGCATACTTTATTACGTTTGTATGCCTCTGTGGTATACGTGGAGTATGATACAGGTGCTTATCTTCGTGGTTGTTGCGACTGAGTCACACTTGGCAATGCCTACATTATTTTTTTGTAAAATATGCTTTTTTTTTCTGCTTTAGGTGCAATATTCAAACTTGATTCTAGGTTTGCTGAGCTGTGCCATATGCCCTGAAAATTCAATGGCAGTATTTTTCCAAATCTGCCAAATGTCTCAGTTGAATGAATACTTGAATTTCACACAAAGTTATTGGCTATGTTGCTTATTAAAAGATATATATTTTATTTAAATTTCATTATGATGATATTTTCATTTTTAAATATAATTAATTGGAGTATTTAGCATCCAACTCAGTAAAAAAAATCAGTAAATTTGAAGTAGAGAAAATACTTGGGTTTTAAAAAATAAATGCCAAGTTGCTGAAATGAAAATAAAAGTACATTCCTAGTGCCGGTTTTCCAGACCATAAATTCTGATATTATTCAAAGAGTTCTGTGTGCATTCACATAGATGCATGCGCACACCCACACTAGCAGGAAAGACAAAAGGTTATCTAAGGCATAGTGTACAAATGGTTGTGTCATATCTGGTATTTTCAGTGACTTCTGGGAAATGTCAGTGAATTCATCAGGAGAAAAATAGTTATAATAAACAAACTTTTCACCTTTGGAGTAAACCAAGTCCAGCCTTGGAATACTTCAGTAAGAATGTATCAGGACAAAATCAGTTTGTCAGTTTTTAACACAATTTCTTCATGACAACAAAGTTTATATTTTCTGTACTCCATTATAAATCAGTTACTTTTCATAGTTATGTAAAAAGCTGTGAGTACCATTTTAAACCATGTCTGCCTTTAAGCTAATACTTTGTCACTTGTGTGAATACCAAATTCATGTGACCACTTTAGTGAGAAAAACAAGACTTCAAAAAAACCAAAAAAGTTCCACTTTAAATAGCAAGGAGTTTATATGTCGGCTTTCACTCAGTGCAAAAATAACATTTGTTTAAATGGTTCACATGCTTTAACTAAGTATTGTCAATGAAATGTTGCCATAAAAAGACAGCTGAAATTTAGTTCAAATAGACTTGATAAAGTGGTTGCATTTTTGCAGAACTACTGGGAGTCTAACTAGCAAGCAAATAACACTGTAAAAACAGAAGGGGTAGATATTAAGAGAAGTTGCATTTTTGCATTTCATGAAAACAAAGCACATACCTGTTTTTATATCTCAACACAGGATGACAGTGATGTAGAGTGGAAGTTTGCTCGTTCTAAACTTTGGTTATCATATTTTGATGATGGAAAGACATTACCTCCACCGTTCAGTCTTGTACCAAGCCCCAAATCTTTTTTCTATTTCATCATGAGGATCATTAACTTTTCTAAGTGCAGGAGGAGACGGCTACAGAAGGACATTGAAATGGGAATGGGCAATTCCAAATCTAGGGTAGGTATTGAAATCTTTTCGCTGCAGTGAAGAATTGGGTGACCATTCCAGCATTTGTCTTTTCTTTACATTTTAGGGAATAATCTGTGCTGCTGATGATAGTATGGTAATTGGTCAGCATTTATATTCATAGATCTGTATTTCTGATTGCCTAAGTGTACTGCATGAAAAAAAAAAGCAATAAATTTTCTTAAGACAACAAGGTCTAATGACTGGAAAAACACAGTTAAAACAAAAATAACTGAGTATTCAAAGACGCAAATAATTCCCACAAGGAATGACTTAAATATTGACTAAAGATGCTTTTGACCTCCATTAGAAAGATTTTTACTTCATGGTAAAAAAAAAAAAAAGGCTGGTTAAGGAGAGGAAACTTGGCCTTTCACTAGGACAGGAAAAGGATAGTGTGGTCAGTATAATATTTACTTCCTACTGTCAAAAGCTATGTTTGCAACAGAAGACAACAGGAAAGAGGGGTGACTGGTAATAATAATCTTGAGCATTTCCGTAAGATTCTACATTTGGGTATTTAAATGTTCTTTACAAATAGTAATGGAATGCAGTGTCACAACACCTGTGTGAGAATTAGGTAACAATTCCCCTTGTTTTACTGATGGCAAACTGGGGCACAGACAGGTTAAAGAGGATGCACATAGCTTTTTTTTTTTATACTTAGGCTTAAGGCCCTGTGTATTACAAAGACTGAAAGCAATACTTTGAAAAGAATTGTTATTTGTTTTACTGTAAACTACCAGAAATGTCAAATCTAATATTTTCTGAAAGATCTTTCTGGAGCGTAGGACTTCTGAGCTGTTGGTACTGAATGTTCAATAAAGAAAATATTTTCTTCAGTTTTCTGTAGGCAGTGAAAAGTAGATACATGTTAATAAAAATGTCAGCTTAAATCAGTTTAGCTAGAAGCACTTTTTTGATACTAACTGCTTATCTTTAGCTCTGTAGTGCTCTGAGTGCCTGAACTTCATCAGTTCCCTCCAGTCACTGTACAAATGTGTTTAAAACACAAAACAAAGCAAAGAACCCTCAACACCCCAGGATACACTTTTATAACAAAGCATTCAGTAGTACTGACATATCATACAGCAGTACTTACTGTCATACTTAGAATGTAAGTCACTAAAGAACTAAAATCCTGTCTGAGTCACTGTTGAGACAGGCCAGGTGGAGCTAGTTTTCTTGGGCTGCAAACCAAATTATTTTTCCCTGGGAAAGGCAGCCCACAGTCTCCTCTGTCAGGCTGGGCTGGCACACTGTTTTATACTCTACAAAGATGAATTTTGTCCCACTCCCTAATAAAAATGGTGGCTGAGCTGATGTCTCATTGCCCACAAGAAGGTGAGCAACCTGGAGTAGGTGAAAATAGCCCACTTGTGGCCCAGCTGAAGTGACAGGCGGTATGCAGTACAGGCACAGTATACACGACAGTTACGGAAATCATCGAACTTACTATATAGATGCAGGCTGACTTCACTTTTCTCCTTAATCCTCCAGAGAGGTCAGCTGTCATTGATACAGTGACTTTTAATTGACCACACAGAAATTTAATGACAGATACAGATAGGGGGTTGACCCTTCTATGGATATATATTTTTTACTTCACCCTCACCAATGTATCTGAGAGAAGAGTTAGGTCCCTAATTTGGTAGTAACAAACCTTCTGCATTGATCACAAAGCCATCTTCTCTGAGGCTTTTTTCCCTTCTGTTTCTAGCCCGCTGCCACAGAAGTCTTAAATTATTTAGGATCTGATGGCTTCATGGTTCTCAAATAGTTGAACAATGACCATTTTTTGAAATATATTACTATTCCTGAAAATGGTGCTTTAGAAAAACACTTGGAACTAAGCAGAAATGGATTTGAGCATGTATTTGTAGTTAAACATATGCTTAAGAGTGCAGATCCACAACAGTTCTTTGTTAAAGCCAGTTTAGAGAGTCTTTTTGCTTTGGCCACCCATCCCTGCTTCCAAGTCATAATTCATTATTTCCTCAGCTGTGAGAACACAATTTCTTTGAAGCTGTGCTATGAATAGGATAGAATGGCTAAAATGATCAGTGTTTAAAAAAAAAACAAACCCAAACCGAAAACAACAAATAAGGCAGTCTCAGTTTCTTTTTTTTTTGGAAATAGTATTCTGATGTAGTGACTATGGAGACATCCCTAAGATGTCTCCAAGAAAAAAAAAATGGAGCTGAATTCTAACTGTGAATTCCATAATATATTTTAATTTTGTCTTATTTCGTCCTAGTTAAACCTTTTCACTCAGTCAAACTCCAGAGTGTTTGAATCACACAGTTTTAACAGCATTCTCAATCAGCCGACACGCTATCAGGTAAGTACGTACATTGGTCACTGTTTTGTGTAATAGAACTGTGTGAAGGTACTAGCAGTTTTCTATGTTTCAAGTACATGTTGCCTTCACCAGATAAAAAAAAACTGTAGAAATCAGACTCCAGGATGCTACTGGAAAAGAGACAGTTATTTTTCAGGCCCCATTATTTGAAGCATTTAAAAAACTAGCCCATACAAAAGTTAGATTTTTGCTTGATGTCCCAGTTTGGAAAGTGTAAGAAGCCAACATGTGAAACTGATTTCTGAGGAAGGGATGCGAAAGCATTGAGCTGACTAGCTTAGCTTTACTTTCCCTTCTTTTCTTCTCATGTGACATTCAACATTCCCACAGATGGGAATGTTCCTTTCCGGTAAAAGGGAGTCTGTCAGATATTACCTTCCTGGTTTATTTTCAGCTCAGAAATAAAAGAAAAAATAGGAACTCTTATTCCCCTAGTGAAAATGTTGAAAGTATGTAATCCACCTGTGCAAATTCTGTTAGACAAGCCCCATGAAATGAGGTATGGTAACACAGTACACGAATATTAGTACATACAAGGAACCCTGGCAGTATGGCTATCATCTTCATGAATACTTTTACAGCTGATGTTGCACTGTCATAATGTAAAATTTCAACCTTTTTTCTTTTTAAAAGGTAAATATCTGTCTCATATCACAAATCCTTTCACATGTGAACTGAGTTTAGCAAGGGTAGACCTACGCTGAAGCTACTTAAAGCCTAAATTAGTGTGTTTGGACATCTCCCTGGTGCCCTATTCCCTACAAAAAGTTGTGATGCTCTGTAAATAAGAGGTAATTGGATGAGAAAGGTGCTTCAGTGTCATGATGAATTTCAGCATGCCACCAAAAAAGCCCATGAGGCAGCTGCTGAATCTGGGACTGCTTTCACTTAACCAGGTGTGAGGGAGATAGTTAAGAAAGAAAAGTGAATAGAGTTTGATTGTATATGCTCACCTGGTTATATAACTCTTTTAATCTGGCAGCAAATAATGAAAAGACTGATAAAACGTTATGTTCTGAAAGCACAAGTGGACAAAGAAAATGATGAAGTAAATGAAGGTAAGAAAGAGACTGCATTTGCAAAATTTGGAGATGATTTTTGTCACATATTGCTTTCCTCCTGTTCCTGCTCTGTGGTGGGGGAAATCTCCTGCCTAGTGAGCGATGAAAAGACTCTTTGCATGAACAGTGCCAGTGGCGTACAAGTCTTTCTAGTGCCCTGGTGCCCGTTTGGTGTTGGCATATATGGGTTTAGATAAGCAAAACAGCACAGAAGAATCATGGTTCATGGACATATTGGTTCTTGCTTTATCAACAATTTTCATAAAGTCCACTTTGAGCAAGTCAGCTAACCCCTGAACCTCTACACAAAGAGGCAGTGCTTTTTGTGTCACGCCCATCTCATTGGTACCTGATGTGTAGATCCAGCCTTGGAAGATACAGTTTTTGAAGTCTGCTATATTCTAAGCAGAAAACTTCTGCATTCTCATGTACTGCAGCTATTTTAAACATAAGTCTAGAGATTTTTCCCTGTTTTGCATCACTAGAGGATTTAGGTATTTTTCCGTAGTCTTTAATTTCATACGTGACACATAATTTCTTGCGGTGGATACTGTGTAAGAATTGAAATGCCTCACACTTGCTGGGAGACTAGTATTTGAATATTTTTAAAAGCTTCTGCTCTTAAAATTAATATCCTATAATGAAAAACATGCTATAACATGCTTGTTATAAGCCTGGCCTTGACAATCATCTTAATTTAAATGTGGTTTTTTCACTTGTGTCAAATTGTAACATAATTTTAAATTGGTTGACTTTTTCTAATTCAAAGGGTGTTGGTAAGGAAGAGGAGAGAGACTCAGAAGCTGTGAGTTTTATTGCCAGCTCTGCCACACTTTTCCTGTGTGATCTTGGCACATCACTTCAGAAAAACTTCTCTTTGCCTTTTCTCTCTCAAAGGGGGATACTAATATTTACCAGCTGCTCAGCAGTGTTGCTGTGATTCATTAATTAACCTACATAGAGGGCTTTTTGAGTCTTTGGTGTTCTGTATACACGTGAAGCACAACATTAGTTTGTTAGACTATCAAAATACTTTTGGTACTGCCTAGGGATGGACACACAGTCACATCTCACTGAGAGTGAAGAAGAGCTAGAGCCTCCTGGCCCACCCCTGCACCTGCTCTCATGAACCTTTTGGAGGAGTAGGAAGTACTCTGAAATATGCACTGATGTCACTTAGCAGAATGGGATTTAATGAATGTTCAATTTTGCTGACAAGTATTTCTTTCCATGATTAATACAGGTGAATTAAAGGAAATCAAACAAGACATCTCCAGTCTTCGCTACGAACTTTTGGAGGATAAGTCCCAAGCAACAGAAGAGTTGGCGATTTTGATACACAAACTCAGTGAGAAACTAAATCCTAACATGTTGAGATGTGAATGATTCAGCAAACGAACCATGGCTTTGACTACAGCACAACTATTTATTGGCAATAATATTTCAGTATCTTATACTTGAAAAATGTATTGTAGATTTTTAGCACTAAATAACTTTATGTACAGCTTCTCTGGAATTTAGTCGTAGGAAATTTTATTAACTCATCACAAAAAGATCGCTCTCTTCATTTTAATTGCCCAAAAGCAAGACTTTTTTTTTTTTGTATTTATGCATTAAAAAGATATAATGGTATGAGTTGCTGGAATTTTAACAGGTTTATGAATACATATGGAGAATTCTTTGCACTAAATTTGCAAGAAAAACAATTAAAATAACAGATACAGCGTAGTACTTGCAGCAACGGGTTATGAATAGGATTTTTCAGAATACGATAAATCAGCTAGAGATCAGTGGAGGATTACTTGAAATCTTTGTTCTTTATTAGTGATGCTAATAATGTGTATAAAGCTGAGAACTCGCGATTACAATGGATTAACGAAATCAGGTAAGTGTGAATGTAACTGTAGTGGCACTGTTTAACATAGATGTATATAGATGTACCCCCAACTCCAGGTTCTTAATGCCGCCTATTTCAAGAGTAAGGACTAGATTTTTTTTTTTTTTAACAATTTTGGAAGGTAATGTGAACCCAGTCCAAAGCTACTCTTTATGTGCTAGAAATGATTTTTTTAAAATTCAGATTCCGGGCGGGGCTGGTATTTTGTTACTGGTCTAAATAATGCCTCTGATGCTTCATTGTTAAATAAACTATTCGTACTTTACTGACCCTCCCTCGTCCCGCTCCTTACCTGGTGCTACCCCCCAGGGGCCCTGGTCCCGCGGGGGCGCGGCAGCCATTGCCGACAGCTCGACACGTCTGCCCAATCGCGGCGCGCCCCTTGCTGTGGGCCCGCCCCCTCCCCGTCAGCCCTAGCCAATGGGAAGCCAGCTCGGGACGATGTTGGCTGCAGGCGGAGGTTGCCGCGGTAACGGGAGCCGTGGGAGCGCT